AAACAACCGGCAATCTTCTGGTCAAGAGTGACGCAAGTCTAGATCGAGAAATGAAAGACTCCTACACCTTGCGTATCATCGCCAGAGACAAAGGTAATACCTTTTTTTCTTTCTCATACGTACCTATAGAACGCTTTGACTTACATGTCAGTATTATATTTCTTCTTTCTAGAACATAGGTGAAAGAGAAAATATTACTTTTTATGGGGTTTTCGTTCATCAGATCAGCCTGCAGGGCCGGATTAAGGGGGTGGCCACATGGGCAGCAGCCCATGGCGGCAAATCTAAGGGGCGGCAAAAATTTGCAATTTTTTTAAGTGTAGGTATAAAAAAAATCGGATTTAGAAAAAAAAATTACAAACGAGAAAAGGCGACAAAATCTCTCATTTCCTGAGAGTATAGTAATTTCTAATTTTGTCGTCTCTGAGTGATACAAGAAACAGCACCTTCAATTAGTCGAGTTAAGAGAGAAACCAAACATGCAATTTGGCCCGGAACGGCGCGACTTAGAGGGAAATGATGACGAGGACTTGAGATGAAAAGGAGAAGCCCTCGGCGCGGCGATCGGCATGTAATACATATTTGCGCCTACAAGGCTACAGTCATTGCGGTCAGCGTGAAATGGATAGCGCCTACAAGAATGCATGAATACTTCACGCTTTGCGCCAAACACAGTGCGGTCAGAGTGAAACGCATAGCGCCTACAAGACTGCGCGAATACTTCGCGCATTGCATCAAACACAGTGCGGTCATTGCGGTCAGCGTGAAATAGATAGCGCCTTCAAGACTGTCGGAATACTTCACGCATTGCGCTAAACACGGTGCGGTCTGCGCGGCGCGGCGGCGGAAGTTAAAATCATTGAACCACATTTATGTTTGTTCTTTCGTACTTTTTTCGTTCATTTCTTATGGATAGAAGGCCTTGTCCACACAGAGATAGGTTTACGAAACTTAACTTTCGCGCAAAGTTCTGTGAACTTATGCTAGTAGTGTTGACAGGGTTTTCCCAAAAAATGTGTTCAACACGAGTACATACGTCTTATGCACCCCTCGCCTGCTGGCACGTTCACTTGATGGTTTTTATTGAGTTTCAAAACGAATGAGAAGGGGGCTGCAAGTAGGTGAATCCGGCCCTGAAAAGGAGTGCAGAGTAATTGAACCGGTTCTTGCAATAGGCTGAAATAAAGCTGAATCTACACTATTCCCAGAGGAAAGCACGGCCAAAACAGTGGCGGATCAAGCAAATTGGCAACATTGTTTTTTCTACATTTAAACCTATGGAAATGTAGTGATTTTTGTAGGGGCCAGGTGCAGGTGCTCCGACAAGAATCGATCATTTGACATAGGTTTAAATGGAGGAAATCCTGTGTTGCCAAATCGCTATATCCACCCCCGGGCCAAAAAATTCCGAAAATTTGAGCTCTAATGCGCATCATTGCAAGACTCAGGGAAGAGAGGGTTCATCTCAAGTTACATTGGAATATTTATCTGGGTACGCCCAGGGATCTGTAAAGTTTTGGGTCTTCTTAGACCTAATCGGTAGATCATATATTCCTTAATGGGTACGACTTACAGTCGGGCAACATTTATAAAGTGTATTTTCTTCTCTACCCAAGTAGCCGTGATTGCGATAAGTTGCGATTTGATCGGAGAATGTCTCGTGACTTTATGGACGTCGATTTATTGCCATATCATCGGATAAAAATTTGCGATACATTGCGATTTTATCGCAGAACTGTGCAGTAAAATCTTGCTTTTATCGATGGCAATTCGTTGCAATATCATCACAAAATCTTGATAAATTGAGGTAAGATTTCGATTTTATCAAACGCGATTTTATAGAGATGAAATCCGATGATCCTAGCAATTTCATCGGCGAAAATCGTAAGGAATTGCAACTTAGTTGCAAAATCGCGATTTCTCTGCTAAAAAATGCCACATGGGTAGAAGGGAACTAAGAGAATTTTACGATGGATTTGCAGGGAATCTGAGTTCGGAGGCCCGGGTGACGATCTCGATCGAGGATGTGAACGACAACGCACCGCGCTTCGTCCAGATGATCGTGCACCAACGCGAGGGCGTGGACGTCATCAAAACGACGTCGGACGGCACCAACAACCTCAACGTCGTCTCTGGCAACTCCACCGTCCTCAAATCCCGGAAGA